ATTTAAATGGATAAGAAAAATAGCATTAAAATTTTTTTATTTATATGTTTTGTTAAGTAACAATTTTTTTTGGTTGCTACACCTAATTTCTATGCTCATTATGAGCGTAAAACTTATTTATCTCATGTTTTATATTTCACTGTTGATATCGTTGTTGATATTTTAGCTAATAATACAATTCTTACGTTGCATCAAAGTTTTAGTTTTTAATTTAGCTTGGTTATACCTTTGCCATATATTGCTTTACTTTTCTCTAATTTTTTGTGTGTTTTGATTTCTATGAAGGTCAAATAATGGTTAATGAAGGTAGTTGGATTTACTACTCACAAGCAAGTAATGAGTATGCCGAAGGAATGGTTGATTTTCTAAATCATGCATTTTCTACTCGAGCAGAGGGTGATCAAATAAGTTGTCCTTGCAAACATTGCTATAATCGTTTTTGGCATCGTAGAGCTGAAGTTTATACTCATCTTATTTGCAATGGCGTTGATCCAGGCATCAAAGAATGGTACTTCAGTGAAAAAGGTTCACACTCAGCCCACAATGAAACGCGAGAAATTGCGTATGATGACATGGAAAGTTTAATATATGATACACATAAGGACTTCGTTGATAACTTTCAAGAAGGAATGGACAAAGATACCAACGCAGAGGCTAAAAAGTTCTTTAAGTTGGTTGAAGATTTGGTTGAAGATGGAAAACAAGCAGTATATCCTGGATGTAAATCCTTTTCTAAATTATCACTCATCATTCGCCTTTACCTTTTTAAGTGCGTCCATGGGCTTAGTAATATGGATTTTTCTGAACTTCTTGAGATACTTCAGGAATTAATTCCAGAAGCTGTATTGCCTAAATCTTTTCATGAAGCTAAGAAAATGGTGAAGGATTTAGGCCTTGATTATCAGAAGATTGATGCATGTAGAAACGATTGCATTCTTTTCTGGAAAGACCATGAAAGTGCTACATCCTGCCATGTTTGTTATGAGCCTAGGTGGAAAGAAGATGACAAGCAAAATGACACTAATGAGACTAATTCTCAGCATATTCGTCATATTCCTGCGAAAGTGGTGTGGCATTTCCCCCTGAAGCCTAGACTACAAAGATTGTATATGTGTGCTGAAACGGATGATTATATGAGATGGCATAATGAGAAAAGAGTTAAAGATGGTAAATTACGACACCCAGCAGACGCTAAATCTTGGAATGATTTCGACTCCTTTTACCCAAGCTTTGCTGCAGATTGTCGTAATGTGCGTCTAGGCCTTTCTAGCGATGGATTTAATCCATTTCGAACCATGAACACAACACATAATACATGGCCTGTAGTTTTAATTAACTATAATCTTCCGCCATGGTTGTTTATGAAGCCGGAGTACCTTATTTTATCTTTACTCATCCCTGGGCCTGTCTCCCCTGGAAATGACATTGATGTTTATCTGCAGCCTTTAATTGAAGAGCTAAAAGACTTATGGGAGTTTGGGGTGGCTACTTATGATGCTTCAACACATCAAACCTTTGATATGCATGTTGCTTTACAAGCAACAATTAGTGACTTCCCGGGTTATGCAATGTTGTCTGGTTGGAGTACAAAAGGAAGATATGCATGTCCTAGTTGTCATTATGAAACAGATCATTTATATTTGAAGCATAGTAAAAAGTCATGTTACATGGGCCATCGAAGATTTTTAAATGAAAATCACCATTGGCGTTGTGATAAGAAAAATTTCAATGGGGAGACTGAGAAAAGGAAAGCACCAGATCCTTTAACTGGGACAGAGGTCCTACATTTATTGAAAAATTTTGAGCATAAGTTTGGTAAGAAGCAATCGAGAAAAAATGTTGAAAATTGCCCCTGGAAAAAGAAATCTTGTTTTTTCAATTTGCCTTATTGGGAGCACAATGCAACTCGCCATCATCTTGATGTTATGCACATCGAGAAAAATATTTGCGATAGCATTCTGGGAACTTTGTTGGAAATACCAGGGAAAACAAAGGATCACCTCAATGCTCGGTTAGATCTTAAAGAAATGGGAATAAGAAGTTCGCTACATCCTATCATATCCACGGGCAAACGTCTATTGTTGCCTAGAGCCTCATTTTCAATGACAAAGCAGGAGAAAACTTTGTTTTGTGAAGTTATAAGTAACGCCAAGCTACCAAGGGTGTGGTTCGAATATTTCACGTTGTGTACAAATGCGCGAATTGAAAATATCAGGATACAAAAGTCACGATGCACACATTATGATGCAGTACTTACTTCAAGTTGCTGTCAGAAAATGTTTACCAAAGACGGTTGCTTTAGCTTTGATAAGATTGAGTGCTTTTTTCCGAGGCATATGTAGCAAAGTTATAGACCCATTGGACTTGGATCAGTTGCAATGTGAAATAGTTGAAACTCTCTGTATGTTTGAGAAAATTTTTCCACCATCTTTTTTTGATATCATGATGCACTTACCTATCCATTTAGTTGATGATGTTAGGTTAAGTGGACCAGTAAGTGGTTGGTGGATGTTCGGACCAGAAAGATATCTTGGAGAACTAAAGGATTATGTTCGAAATCGGAGTCGTCCTGAAGCCTCTATAGCTGAAGGATATTTGGTAGAAGAGGGTTTAATATTTTGCTCGAGATATTTGCGTGATTGTTCAAAGAAGAAATCTAAAAACTCTAATCAAAGCTCTGTATAAGCAACATGTAATGAAATATCAGTTATTTTTCCTAAAGTGGGTCATCCTCTTGGAAGAAGAAAGAGAGGGAAGAAAGGAGCATTTTCTCTAGACTCCAGCACACAAAAATTAGCACATCGCTATGTTCTATTCAATTGCCAGGATGAACTTGTTGAAAAATACATCAAGTAAGTTTGTCACTCATTCTTTTTGTTTATATTGTTCATTACTTTTAAGGAATTGTGTATGTTGTTTGCTTTGTTAAGTGTTTGTTGTTTGACATTTATTTTAGCAATAACGATTTCTTTTATAAATGCAGGGAACACGAAGATATGATGAAAATGATGTCTCAAGAGAAGAGCAAAAAAAGGTGGAGGCAAGCCCAACAACATAGCCAAGAATTCGTGGATTGGTTTAAAGATAAAGTAGAGCTAGAACAAGTTCCTGATCATATTAAATGGTTAGCTTTGGGACCTTCTCATGTTGCAAGGAGATACACAGGGTACTTCATTAATGGGTATAGATTCTATACTCAAGGACGTGATGCAAAATTGAAAACACAAAACAGTGGAGTTACTTTGACTGCCTTGACTTCAAGTTTCTCAAGTACTAAGGATCTCAATCCTAGTGTTGATGGGGTCACTTACTATGGAAGGATAAATGATATCATTGAGATTGACTATTGGAGTTCTTTTAGTGTTGTCTTGTTCAGATGTGAGTGGTTTCAAGAGAACACTGATTCATATGGTCTGACATGTGTCAATTTCAACAAACTGTGCTATGAAGATGATCCTTTTGTCTTGGCATCACAAGTTCATCAAGTCTTTTATGTGAAAGATACTACTGAAAAGGGTTGCCATTATGTGATGAAAAAATTATCAAAAGACTTCATTGATATTATGGACCAAACAAAGGACACGTACTTTTCTGAGCTTACTGGCTCTGTGGAGGATAGGATGGTGTCTACTCTCAATGACGATGAAGAAAATAGTTGGACCCGAGAAGGTGTACCTCCCATTATTCTTGATGATCCAGTTGAAAACCAAGAGGCTAATTCAGAATCATACGATACAGGTTTGGAAACAATAGATTTATGAGTATCATTTTATACAATTTTAGATTTCACTAAAGAAATTATTTCATTATTTATTTTTCTAAGTAGCTTGAGAACCATTGCATTTATCAGGACATTGTTGATGAAAGGCTCGTGAATTGAGTATTTATGCTTTCTTGTCTATTATGTGCTAAGATGAAATCAAAGAGGTCATGTATTGTGTTGCGGCCCATTTGTTTTCTCATTTTAATGGTATGGCCTTTTATTAAAGCTTTTTGTCATATGAATAATATTAAGCTTACACGTCGTAATATCAACACTTGGTACATTCAGCCTGCAAATACAGAGAATCCACTAAGTCGCCTCCATCACATGTAGTTGACTCGAGCTGGTTTCAAGAAGCACTTAACAGTTCAAACAGATACTCATCGGCTGGGACTGGTGGGGCTTGTCTCGGGTTAATACATTCCTTAGTGCTGTTGGTATGCGCGGAAAAAAATGAGCCATTTTCATAGGTTTTCCAATGAAATTCCTCACCAATTTTCTGGCCAACGAGATTATGTGTTGAGCATTCGAGGCGGAAGATATACCGTTCATTGTTCGCCTGTCGAGATTGCAGGACTAAGATTGGTGAAGTTTTACGTTTTTAATCTCATATTCGACTAAAGGTTGTAAATTGTATTTTCGCTGATAAATTGTATTTTTGCTGATAACCTGGTACCTTTTGAGTTCTATCTTTTTATCGAGCTCTTTTGGTAATAACCTTTTTTTTTATAATTTGTCTTTTTCGTTTCCATTTACTCTTTTGATTATATGATTAGTTAATCTGATGTTGTCAATGTTCTCACCAATTGAAATTTGTTTAATAGTTTCTCCCAATATGTATCTTTACTTCCCAAAACATTTATCTTGTCCTTGTGCGGTGATGAAAACTAATGGTCAGATCCTATATGCAATCATTAAGTGTTGATATTGAACTTTGATGTGGTTCATAATTTGCTTGAATTTTTTTTTTTCCCAATTTTTCAAGGTATCAACTCCCATATGAAATATTTTTTTAGGTACTTGGTCGTGTGTATTTGTTGAATGAGTTTGACAATTTCCATTTTGATCTCG